CCCCCCTCCCCCCGGACTAACAACTTTTAGCTCTTCACATGTTGAAGGAAGAAATCCTTGGTTTGCATCAGGACATGAGTGAGAGTGGGGGAGGGGTGCTGATGAGCCTGCCTACTCTGTGGGAGTTCAGCCATGGGCACTCATGCTCTTTGGCCCAAACACCTTCCTTCCTGCCCGTCCTGCCCCATCTCCTCAGCTGCCACACCAAGCGTACCACAGCCAAGAAGCTAAATTTCAACTGATATCACAGCTGCTAACTCAGACGTTTTAGAAGGATGGGGACATTGTCCCAGTGCTATCATTGTAGCAACATCCAAGTAACTAGTGTCCAGCCTCCTGACATGTTCCTTGTAAAGAACCCAAGCATCCCACAGTGCTGTTCTCTGTGTGCCACATCCAAATTCGGTCGCAAGGAGAAGTGAGACATTTTTTAGCGGATTCTGTTGCTGAGATCTCTAGAGAACCCTGAAGTCGGAAAATGGAGGGAGCTTTTGTGACAGACCTGACCTGTGACATTGCTTTGGAGCATAAATAGATGTTGGATGAAAGGATAAGAACATAGAACAAGCCCAAATATGTAGAAAGTGCTCTGTGGGGGAGATGATGTGGCCACATTCTTGCCTTTAATTGTGGAGCCTGTACCCTGCATAAGGGATCTTAGTTTCCTGTATTCTGGGTTTTCCTAAGGAAACTGTTTAGTTCTGCAGCTGTTAATTGTTACTATCTTAATGGAAGCCCCATAGTTCTGCCCCTGGGGTCCCTTGATCCCCCACCTAGGACAGACTGGCTCCAGCCAAGCACATCCCTACCTCTGCCTGTGTCATCCCCCATCTCTGGCCCACGGAGAGCTCTGCCCGCTGGTCGTCTCTGGTCTCATGTTGGAAAGTGTCCTGCTCCTGTCAGAGAACTCCCCTCGCACTTAAGGGCTCTGCTGTCGGGCTTCCTTCCCTTCCCCAGTGGCAGGGCTTGTTGTGACTCATCTGCTTCCAGGGTCCCTGATGATGCCCACTCCCTGTGGCCCTGGGAGGAGCCCGGCTACCCTACTCCCTGCTCAACCCCAGTCAGTCCTGGGAGGGGTCTGCTTGGTTAATGCATGAAAATAAATAGTTAACCCAGAAATTCCAAAACATACCCTAAGAACTTTTTGTGTAAAATATGTACAAGCTTTTGGAAGATTCTTCTGTGCCTGATACGGCTATTCATATTTGCATCATGGAGTCGGGAAGTCCTGTGTGAGGCTGGAACAGCAAGAAGGCAGGGTAGCCAGTGGGGAGGAGCCTGGAGTGAGAGCAGAGGGGGTCAGGCCAGTGTACTAGTCAGATCCTGCTGCTGTAGCAAAGGTACCAGAGATCGGGAGGTTTAAACAGACCTTTATTTCTCACAGCTCTGGAGGCAGGAAGTTTGAGGTCAAGGTGTCAGCTGGGCTGTTTCTCCTGAGGCCTCCCTCCTTGGCTTGGAGATGGCCATCTTCCTCCCATGTCCTCACGTGTCCTCACGTGGCCTTCCCTCTCTGCATGTCTGCATCCTGATCTCTTCTCATAAGGACACTAGTCACACTGGATTAGGGCCCACCCTAATGGCCTCGTTTTACCTTAATTATATCTTTAAATGCCCTATCTTCAAATACAGTCGCATTCTGAGGTCCTGAGGATTGGACTTCAATGTCTGGATTTTGGAGGGACACAGTTCATCCCATGACAGCCAGAATGCATGTGAACTGCGGGACCACAGCTCCAACCTCAGACTCAGAGGGTAATCAGAGGCCTTTGAGACAGTTAAGCAGAATTGTGATATGATCTCATCTAGGTTTTTAAAGGCTCACCTGGATACTTGTTGAAAAGAGAGAGGGACCCATGCGAAAGGGAGGCCACCGCCCGGTTCAGGTCCAGGAAAAGGTAGACAGCCACTGTCACCAGGGTAGCAGGCATCCAGGTGGCAGGTGTTGTGGACAGCAAGGATCTGGACATGTTTTGAAGGTGGGCCTGACCAAGCTAGATGTGGGCAATGAGAGGAAAAGAAGAGGCCCATGAGGCCCATGTGCCATTACCTGAACCACCAGGCTGCTCACTGCTCTCTGGTCATAAACCCTTCCCAGGAAGATGGTGTCTGGCTG